CACCTTGTTTGTGGTCATTTTTGCTGTCAGCCAAGTAATTATCTCTTTGCCGACAATGTCATCCGTGGAAATCGGACCAATAGTGAATTCGAATTCAGTATGCTCTTTGTCTTTGTAGAGTCTGGTGACCTGGTAGATCCATTCATTAAACTGTTGGTAAACTTCATCAACTAAGGGTCGAGGAGTGATCCTCAATGGCACTGATCGTGAAACAACGATTAGAGATGAGCTATTAGGCCGGAATACATATGCACCAGATGCCTGGGAATCAGAATTACCACTGCTTGAACTGTACCACAGGTAGCTCTGCTGCACTGGTACATCTACCTTCGGTGTTGGCAATTTATCGAACACCTGGGAATCATTATGATTTTCCTCACACTTTTTACCAGTCAGCAACTGGAAAATGTGCTCCACATCTCTCTGCTGCGACGCCATTTTGGATTCCAACATACTCAACCGACTGTCCTGCTGCTGCCACCATTTAGGAGGTTTTGTGCCATCCGTTACTTGCGTCACCAAAGTTGTAAGTTCTGCAATTTGCTGCTGGATTGAAGAAAGATTAGGAGTTTCGACCATGGTTTGGTTCTTTACTTCAAGCTGCCAGGAAATGATGGCTCTGAATACCAATTGTTATGACCCTAGGAGATTAGAGAAGAAATTAGACGAAGAATTGAGAGAATTAAGAGTAAGGAGAGAAAAGAAAAGATTCAAGAAGCTTAGAATTCATTCAATCAAAAGCATGCCCTCTCCTCCTCTAGTACATGGTTTATATAATTACAGTGTACCCCTAGTTACCCTACAGGTGGCAGTCCCTGTTGTACTAAATATAACAACCTACACAGATAAGCAAGCTGTTTCCTATCCTTAGTGGGCTGTAGAACGTGTCAGGTCCATTCCCAATTCTAAATCCCTAACCCTCTCTGATTTCCCCAATTCTCTTGCTCCGATTCTTATCTCTTCTCCTTTGTGCATGACATTATTCTTCTCCCAAAATGTTGATATAAATTGCCCAAGCATTGTGCAGCACCTACAAAATTTAAATCAAATGCTCATAACACAAGAAACAATTTGAAAGTCATAAAATCTTAAGACTATGAGAAGCAACCCTTCAATGAGAAAATTTTATGGCTCTCCCTTCCACTCCAAAAAGGGGGGAGTTTACCAAATTTATTGATTATGAACATTACTTGTAAAGAACATTGCAACATCAGAAGGAAAAGACAGATTTATATTATAGATAGTATACACACAAAACTCCATGCGTCAGTGGGTATCTCTTCATTAGTATTCAAATTTTATGATAGAGATCCAATATAAGTTCTGAAGGTTATATAATTTTTTGATAAAAACCCTCGACTTACCCTCCATATTACAATAGTAATATGAAGGACAATGGAAGAGGGAAAAGAGAGCCTACTACTTTTATTAATCAGGAGAATAATACACCGCCATCCCTTACATCATACTTTAATAGCCTTAACCCTAATAACATAAGACTTAAACATACACTAAAGCACCTCTAAGTATAATAAAAAAGAAACCGACTCTGTCACTGGCAGGTTTATTCACTTCCCAAGGTGTAAAAGTTAAGATAGAAGCATGTATAATCCCAATGCACAAGGGTATTTTCATCATTAAAAAATTACTCAGGAAAAATTTGAAAACAAAAGAGGTTCATTGTGTTTGGCCTACCAGACCCCTTAACCTGTGGTGCGGTTAGGCACCCCCTTCACACTGAAGTGCAGTTGGAGTAGCCCAATAATGCCACACAATACCTTGCAAACAGCAAGGTTGCAGCATAATGAACATTTTGGGTGCTAACCACATCACAATAGGCATGCTAAACATAGCCTAATTAGCACATCCGATGAAAAGCTGGCATGTCAAAGAGGAGCTTTATGGAAAGCAGGAATGATATTACATGAAAATTTATTGCTTCCTATCAGCAACAATATTATACAAATGCCAATGAATTATAAAGCTTTTAAAAAAGTGGAGTACTGACTTATTAAATTGGGATGAGAATAACGGTGACATACTCATTCCTTCATTGAATTTTAAGATTGTTTTCTGATTTCTTAGGTATTGCCAATACTAGCTTTTTTGTTCTTGTTGAAAAGTATTCATGTAGCCAGACAATACTGTTGTCAAAAAGGGCATGATATAATCACAGCAAAGTTAGTTGCAGCTTCAACTAACCAGGAACTCGTATGAAAGCACAGTACATTTGCCACGTCTAGTTAAAAAAAATACATGATATAAGAACATTAAAGTTAGTTGCAACTTCAACTAACCAGGAACTTGTATGAAAGCACAGTACATTTGCCACGTCTAGTTAAAAAAATACATGATATAAGAACATTACAGTTAGTTGCAACTTCAACTAACCAGCAACTTTTTGTGGCTCACTCCGCCTCCCATCAGAAAGAAATCCCTGGAGACTACTTGCTCACGAGTATATTGAAATGCTATCACCTTTTGATATCATCATTGCCATTGCAACGGATGCCAAGTGTCGCACAGGACGTTTGGCACCAAGAATAAGTAAGGAATATAAGGCATCCTCACATTTTCTTTGCCACAACAAGATAGATTCCTGAAAATTAATATTTCCAAGTTAAAAATAAAACTTCACTCGAGAGGAATAAACTTTCAAACATCACTCAAATCTGAGAACAAATTTCTCGAAGGCAAATGCGAGACACCTTCTACTACCTTACATTGAACTTGAAAGTAATAAACAAATCACCGAAGCAAGTGATTTATCTCTATATTAGTCTGACTAATCACAATCTACTTTAATAATAAAGCTAACAACAAATGAATGATAAACGTGACTCCTCGCAATATATCAATCCTTAACTAAATCTTTTCTGACCAAATTAAAATGCACAACTTCCTAAGAAATTGCAAATAAAATCTTAACAGACTTAAACTTCACCAATAATAACCACATAAACAAACGGAACAGCTAAGTTAAAAAGGAACACAATCAGATAAAATTCTACAATTAAATTGTGTACTGAAATAGTAAAAGGTTAGATCTGGAGAAAAAAGGACCTTGGTTTCGTCTTCAAGGGCGGATAGGAGATCGGATAGGAGACCGAAGCAAAGGAGAGGATCAGGAGATTTCTGCGATGCGGAAGCAACGATGGACTCGAGCTGAGCTACCAGGACACAGAAGCGTGAGAGAGGAATGGAAACTAACACCCACTCCAGTTTTTTTTCACAAGGGAGCCTCTGCATAAACTAGTAATGGAAACTAACACCCACTCCAGTTTTTTTTTCTTTTTCCTGATCGATATAAATTAAAAGATGTTTCGTCCTAACTAGAAACTAGAGTCCATAATATAAATTAGGAGAAACATGCATACTGTGAATGAAAAAATAAATCAACTGTTGAACGTTGAATCTTGGTAAAAGCACCTTCTAGGTCATTTTATTATAGGGACTATATCAATTTAGTCCCTCTACTAAAATGGAAAAATTTAATCCCCCTATAATAAATCTGTATTTAAAGAGGTTCTAACGACATTTTTAACTTTAAATTTAAAAAAAAAAACATATTAAAGGAAAGTAAGAAAAATCAAAGTTTATATTCCGATTCACAACCTATTATATTTTAAATTATAATTAATTTAAAAACTAAAAAATATTAAGAAATAACTCGGACCTTAAAACATAAAGGTTTAGGATTTAACCTAAATAAAATTTATGTATACTTTAACCTGAACCATGGTATCAAAAATTGAACAAAATAGATTAAAAATTGTTTTAAAATAATTCAATTTAAATTTATACTATATAAGCCAATTTAATTAAATAACTCAAATAGGTATTATTTAAATTCAATTTATTGTTTCATCTATAGTTTTGATTAGTTCAATTATCAAAAGATCAATTAAGATCTAATTAGACTGAACTCTTTTGTAATGGTTGTTTGTGATCCAATCGAGAATTTTTATAAGTCGATTAGTTATTTAAACATTATAATTATAGTTTTTATATGTAAAATAAATATTATTATTTGATATACAAGTTGTATTAATTTTCTATTCAAATTCAAAATATTTAAATTTAAAACTCTAATCCCAAATCATAAACCCCAAACTATATGCATTAAACCTAAACCCTAAAACTTAAACATTAGAATTTTAACTCCAGGCTATAAACCTCAAAGTTGAACCCTAAAAGTTGAAAAACAAAACCTTATGCCTAAACTATATATCTAAATAGAACCTCTAAATTTCAAAAGAAACATATTTGTGCAAACTAAAATGTACATAACTCATATATCAGATGATTTTTCATAACATGAACATAACTCATGTTTTATTTTCTTCAACTATCTTTCTTTGATTATGAGATAGTTAAAAGAATTATAATAGCTAAAGATTATGATCCCGTAACAATACATAATTAAAATGAAACTTTTTGAAGGAGTTCTTAAATCAATCGTTTTTATATATTTGTTTAATTACATTAAAAAAGAGATAAGAATGCATATAGTATATTCATTGATATTTGATATATTTAATTAATCGAATATTAGAGAAATCATTATAATGATTATCCTTATAATTCAATTTATTCCATCCATAATATTAATATTCAAACCTAAACATTATAAAAAAGATCTAACACCTCATTATACTAAGACAATTTTTAAAGTAGCATAAATAATTTAATCTATTTATAATAAAGGTTCATTATTAAAAAAATTAAAAATTCGTGACTTACATAGAAATTATGCTAATTATAGTGATCTAAAGCACATATTACCCTTAATTATATTTTATATTTATTCTTTTATTGTTATACTAACCAGTCTCAAAACCCATTTCCTTTTCTTTTCTATGGAACAAAAGTAGTATTTAACTTGTATATTTGTATTTAAGTATGATGGATGGCCACGGGCAACAACGGACTCTGATGAGTTAGTTATATACAATGCATGAAACGAAAAATATAAATGAAAACAACACATAAGAGAAGAGTTGCATAACTTAATTTACTCTTAACAAACAACATTTGCTTTAGATATCCCAAAATCTCAAACTGCAATTCCATATAGGTCCACCATTTAACCAATGCAGAAAATATAAGTTCCAGGGCAACGATATGGATTAAAACAAATAAGTTGTACGTTGAATACTTGTTTACAAGGCTCTGTAGCCCAGCACTGGAAACGGAAATGAGCTTAGACTCTTGAAGTTCCTTTCTGATTTTCCTGAAGCATGTATTCTTTCTTCATTTCTTCCAACACAACATCGTTGGTGCTGCATAAGAAAAACGTGAAAGAACAGTTTTTGTCAAATTCAAAGCACATCAAGCCTTCCTCATAGTTTGCATCATGTGTCTGTCAATCTTCACATTAACCAGTCATCATGGATATTATATATATATATATATATATATATATATATGCATTTTTTCTGGATTTGATTTTCTCAACAAGCTCTCTAAGTGATAAAGAGTAGGGGAACCAAAATAACCACCTGTCATTCTAAATTAACAGCACGATGACTTTCGATACAAAGATGGAAAATGTGAAACCTAACTTCTATCAACTATACTGATTAGAGTAATTGGGATATTCTTTTCATTTCTAATTCGGCCATTTCACCCCCAAGCTGCCACTTAGACTTACGCCCCAAATATTGACAATGAAAACAAAGTCACACAAATGACACTTGTGACATGGGACGCAAAGCGTAACAATCAGAATGGAGGCTTAGTGCCCAGGGCCCAAGCATAAGTTGTCAAACAGCTTTCGTGCAGAACGCCACTGGCTGAAAAAGTTTTAACCTTTAAACTCGAGTGGTTTGTTTTGTGAGACTTGATCTCTCATATGGGTTTATCATTCACACTTCCGTCTAATGTGGTCTGGGATATCAGCATAAACAATTGGATTAGAGTATTACAGTCGCCCACTAAAATTGCATAAGGTCATTTCATTATTTATAATCATCTTGTTTCTGAGGGCAAGATAATTGTGCATAGATAAAGTTTGAAGATTTGAAAATCAGAACCTGTAGTTGGATTTCGCTTTTGAAGGTGTGTGAAACAATTATCATTAAAATTTTGTTAAGTATGGTTCTTTTTTTTTCTGATAGAAATTGGATAGGCCTCGTTAAAAATCCCCTTCTTGACCTCCATGTTACAACAATAACATGAAGGGCATGGGAAGGAGGAAAAGAGTGCCTAAAAATTCATTAATACCAAAATAATACATATCCATCCTAAGAAGTTCTGTTACAACATAAAACTTAAAAACCAAACACAGAACATAAAAACCTGCTCAATAATTGTGCAACCTAGCCAATAATCTAATATTCATCCTATTCCTTCTTTAGCTAGTTTATCCGCTTCACAATTAGCAGCTCTCAAAATATGCCTAACAATTATCCCTCTACTCTCCACTAATGCAGCAATGTCTTTCACCAACGGCTGGAACATAGGAGTACATACACCTGGATTTTTAATCCATTTCAGTGCATTAAGGGAATCTGATTCCAATATGACCCTTGGAAATGAAACCAAAGATTTCTCCTCAATATACATCAGCCCTCTTTTTATAGCTAATAGCTCTGAAAGAATAGGAGGACCCCCCCCCAATCCTTTCGGAAAACGAACCCTGCTGCAACCCTTGAGCATCCCTTAATAATCCACCAATGCCTCCTTTATCCCACTCCTTAGACATCGCACCATCAACATTTAATTTAACGTAACCCAAGGGAGGAGCAGTCCAACACGAGGAAGAAATAGAATCCTTCTTCATTCTTACCCCCAAATCAGCTATTTTAATATCACCCACTAGAGAATCAAAATTTATTTGCACATCATTGAATCTCGCAACAAACCATGATGCAATTCTAAAACGAACAATGAAGAACAATAACGGGCCATCCACCTTTCCTTTCCCAAAAATAATATCATTTCTACACTTCCAAACCGTCCAAAGCACCGCCCTAGGGATGAACTTCCAAATGGTGGAGTTCGGGATTAAATCATTCCAAACGATTATGAAATCCAACAAAGTCTGAGGTGGAACAAAAGATACATTCCAAGATGACAAGAATCTATACCACAGGCCGCTGACAACCTCACAATGAACAAATAGGTGAGAAACCGACTCCACACACTTACCACACAAAGGACATAGCGAGTCTTCAATCCCTGAAACCCCTCGCTTTATCAATTCCTCTCTAATTGCCACTCTCTGATGAGCAGCCTGCCAAACAAAAGTTTCGACTCGAGGAGGAGCAACCCCTGTCCATGCAATATTGTCCCAAGTACCATCATCTTCCTCATTACCAGCCCAATCAAAATAGCACTTCACACAAGATTTAGCTGAAAAACAACCCTCCCCATTCCCTGTCCAGACCCAACAGTCATCTTGCAAAGATGATAGAGAGGTAGAATTCAACAAGGACATAAGTTGCATCCACTGTTCAACCTCCCAGTCCACCAAATTCCTCCTTAATTTAATGTCCCAGAAGCACCCTGAATAAGAATTTTCCATGAATTCTGCAACTTTGCCCCCTTTATTCAGTGATAGAACAAAGATCCTTGGGAACCTAACTTTTAAAGGGAACGAACCCAACCAAGAATCATGCCAAAATTGCACTGTCTCTCCATTCCCCATCTTCAAACACAAATTCTTCCTTATACATTCCCCAAAATCATCATTAGAAAAGAAATTATTAATTATTCCTTTCCAAATCCAAGATGCCCGATTAGACAAAGAATTCGTAAATAAGCATGTATTAAAGTCTAAATTATACACGCAACACACAACTTTTTTCCACCACAAATTCTTCTCTGATGCAAATTTCCATACCCATTTACCCAAAAGAGCTCTATTTAGAAGTGCCAAATTCGGAATTCCCAAACCCCCCAACCTCTTCGGCTTGCATACTAACTTCCAATTCAGCCAATGAATATTCCTCTTATCTGCCGAATCGCCCCAAAGGAAGGCTGCCATTATAGAATTCAATCTCTTAACCACACCAATTGGAATTCTAAAAAGGGAGAGAAAATAAGTCGGAAGAGAGCACAAAACTGACTTCACTAAAACTGCCCTACCAGCTAGAGATAAGGAATTAGCCTTCCAACCAGCCAATTTAGAATAAAATCTCTGGACTATTGGTTCCCACAATACTGCAGAATTCCTCTTAGATCCCAAGGGTAATCCTAAATATTCTGTTGGAAAAAGTCCCACTGTGCAGCCAATTTCCACTGCCCAACTTGCTAACTCATCCGGATCCACATTAATACCGAAGATTTTACTCTTAGATAAATTCAATTGCAAACCTGTTATCAATTCAAAAATTAACAGCACCCTTCTGACATTCTTCAAGTCTCGAACAGTAGCCTTGCTAAAGATAATGAGGTCATCCGCAAATTGCAAATGTGATAGCATAAACAACCTCTCTTGATTTCCTAACTCAAAGCCCGAAAACAGCCCTATCTCCACTGCTTTAGCCAACATCAAATGAAGCAACTCTCCAACCAAATTAAACAACATTGGAGATAATGAACAGCCTTGCCGGAGACCTCTTGCTGTTTTAAATTTTTCTGTCGGTGACCCATTAACGATAACTGAAATTGTGGCTGTTGAAACGCATTGATTAATCCACGAAGACCACTTATCCCCAAACCCCATTTTGCACATTATTTTCATCAATATAGCCCAATCCACAGAATCATAAGCTCTTTTAAAATCTACTTTAAATACGACCCCCTTCAACCCCTTTTTCCTCCAATAATCGATACCCTCATTTGCAATAAACGAGCAGTCCATAATCTGTCTTCCCGGTATAAACGCAAATTGCGAAGGGCTAATAATTTCATTTATACAAAGGCTTAACCTTCTAGCTAGAACCTTAGAAAGAATTTTATATAATCCTCCAACAAGGCTAATTGGCCTAAAATCTTGTAGCTCCTCCGGATTCACCCTCTTTGGAATGAGAGAGATAAAAGAATGGTTTACCTCCGAGTCCCATACCTTCCCTCGATGAAATTCTCTAAAAAACAGCACCAAGTCTTCTTTCAAATTTCCCCAAAACTTCTTGAATGAGCAGAATTTAAAAGAATTAGCGTTCAGTAACATTATATTAGAAAAAAAAATCTGCTATTAAGTGTATCAGAGGAAATAAGGCAAGTCCAATCTATTTTATAGTGAACCAAACAAAACTGGATTGAGCTCCTCAGTTAAGATACCTCATTCTCTTGAAGGCAATGCATGTTTTAATGGCAGCATCCATAATCTCAGATCATGATACCACATTTCACATCAGACGTGTGGAACGAGTTGAGAATCAAGCTCTATGCATGTGCAGTTGAACTTGAGATTGCACTCATCCAAGTCCAAGCTCAACATTCCCACACACAAGGAGCTCAACACTTGATGCAACAAGGCCTAACTTGCTCAAGTGCTACACACTCACTCAACTAGAAGTCTTGGGAGATAGCTATGAAAGAGAAAGAATTAAGGCTAAGATATATACAGTTACTCCATGGTTACTCCATGGTTGCTTACAGGGCTTCCCTACACAATCTAAGCTCCCATGCCTCTTTGAACATGGGGGAAACCCCCTCGTCCCACTGTCATAATAGTCTCCAACTTGATGTCTTGGACATGCCTGAATATATAAAGGACAACCCGAACCCCCAAACAAAGTAAGTTGGACTTGGACAAGATCCCAAACACAGTCAAGATACAGGTCACATGTGTCCCAAAATTAGACACGGGAATATATTTTTTTCTTAAAATTTAGTTTTCCAAAAAAAAGTGTAAGAAACTAACCACGATCAATTTGTAAAGAATGAAGTACAAAAATATACAATCACCTATTAATGTTCCAAACCATTGAAAATTGAAGCCTATTGGTCAAAGAATATGTACCTCTGCAAACTTCAGAAACCAAAAGGAGAAAGATTAAAATTTGAAGAGAAAGGGATGACAAAGAGGAAGGAAACGATGGAGAAAATGGGGAAGGGAGAAAACAAATAGAGGAAAGACGGCAGAATGGATAAAGATTTTTTTTTTTTATAAGAAGTGGAGGAATCGTTAAAAACCCCTTCATGATTAAAGGAGCGCCAATAGGTGCTCTTTAATCAGCGAAAGGAAGAAAAGAGTGCCTCAAAATTCATTAATAACTGATAAGTTACATAATGTTAGAAAAAACAGCCAAAGCCCTCCTTACAATGAACAACCCGAAACACTCAAACAAACATCCTAAACAAAACATAAATTTAATACGTATCATCTTCATTAAAAAGTTGTAGATAGGGGCAAGGGATAAAGATGACAAAATTGACAAAAAATAAGATGAGAAGGGGAAAAGGCTGACAGGGCATAACTCATTTATCAATTTTTTACTTTAATACGTATCATTAATTAATTAGGATTAATATAATTTTTTTTATAAGAATTGCAGGCCTCGTTAAAAACCCTCTTATTGATTAATGGAGATTGTAGGGAAGCTCCTTAATCAACGGAAGGAGGAAAAGAGTGCCTTAAGATTTCATTCAACATAAGAAATTACATAAGATACATCTAGAGAAACACCCCCAACATAAACAGAAAAAAGAAAAAAACAACCCTAAACAACAACACTAACTTAACCTAATCCTTCTTTAGCTAAGGCATCAGCCTCTAAGTTGGTTGTCATGTTTACCCATCTAACAACACCTTTAAAGACTTTAAGCCTATACAATGCCCGGAAAAAAACACAAAACATTACAACAATCGGCCTGTCAACATTCAACCAATCCCCTCCTTAGCTAACTTGTCTGTCTCCATATTACAACTCCTCGGAATCAATCTAAGAATAATATCCATAGCATAAATTAATGTCCCAGTTTCCCCAACCAAAGAACTGAAAAATATAGGGGCAGAGTACGGCTTTGAAATCCATTCCACTGCAGTTTTACAATCACTCTCTATAATAAGTCTTCCCTTCAAAGCCCAGTTAGAAGAAAAGAAAAAAATCAATTCTTTCCTTAATAGCTTTCAACTCTACCAAAGTAGGAGGACCTGGCCCTACAACAATAGAGAAAGTGGCTAAAGTAGAACAGTTTCAATCTTTCAAAATACCTCCAATTCCACCCTACAACCCATCTCCTCTTACCGCCCCATCGACATTGAATTTAAAAAAATCCAGAGGAGGTGGTAGCCAACAATTAACCTTCTTTGTGTTAGAGGAAATATGGATCTTGTCTGCAAGCGATGGGTCCCCTACTAGTAAATCTATCTGAATACTAACATTAGGATATTTAGCTAAATACTATTTAGCCAACCTAAATCTGACGATGAAGTATAGAGAAGAACTGTCAAACTTCCAATTTTAAAACACTACCAAATTCCTAGCCTTCCATATTGACCAGAAAAGAACTCTCGGGATAAAATTCCAAATAGTAGAATTCTGCCTTAGATACGACCAAGAACAAAGAATTTAAGTGGGGTCTTGAGGAAAAACAATAGAAATTTCCCATAGCCTTAGGCATTTATTCCACATCTCCCCTGCAACAGAACAAGATAAGAAAAAGTGATCTATTGTTTCTTCATGAATATGACATAAAGGACAAAGCACATCTTCCAATGGAATCCCTCTTTTCTTCAACTCCACTCTAACGGCCAATTTACGATGAGAAACCTGCCATAGAAATGTTTCAACTCTAGGAGAAGCCAATCCAGACCATACCCACTTATTCCACTCGAAATTTCCTTCCGAGCTGCAAGATAGTGTCAATCTACAAGACTTGACCGTGAACAAACCATCCCCCTTCCCCGACCAAGCAAGAAAGTCATCCACTGAATCAGACAGAACTATATAATCAATCAAGGACATTAAAGCAATCCACAGATCCAATTCCCAGTCACATAAATTCCTTCTTAGCTGAATATTCCAAACCCATCCATTATTTTCAAAACCACCAAACTTAACTACTTTCCCCCATTTATTAGTCAATAAAGCAAAAATTCTAGGGAATTGAGTTTTTAAGGTCGAATTATTAACCCAAACATTGTTCTAGAATGCTATCGACCTACCATTTCCCACTTAGATCTTTGAATTAGCTCTCAAACAGTCTCCTATCTCATCATTTTTCACATAATTGTTCAGAATACCTCTCCATATCCATGAATCTTGGGGAGAAACAACCTTTGTTATTGAAAGAGACAAGTTACTAACATTATTTTTACAGCAAATCATCTTTTTCCACTGACTGATTTTCTTTCATTTGTGAATTTCCAAACCCATTTCCCAAGCAAGACTCTATTAATCAAACTCAAGTCTAAGATTCCCAACCCACCCTCTTCATATGGTTGACAAACCGTTTTCCAATTCACCCAATGAATACGTTTCTTAGCTTGGTCTTCTCCCCAAAGAAATTTTGCCATTAAAGAATTTAACTTCTGACTAACCTTGAATGGTATTTTGAAAATAGAGAGGTAAAAAAAAGGCAAGGAGGACAACACTGACTTAACTAACACGAGTCTTCCAGCCATCGACAAAGAAGTAGCTTTCCATCCTGTTAATCTTTTGTTAAAATTCTGGATTACCGGTTCCCACATAAACTCTGAGTTATTCTTTGAACCAAGCGGTAAACCAAAATATGCCATTGGAAAAGACCCCACTCCACGGCCCACTTCCTTTGCCCAATCTTTTAACATTTCATCTTCCATATTAATACCCTTTAAAGTACTCTTAGACAAATTTAAATGCAGCCCTGACATTAAACTGAAAACCTCAAAACTCTCCTAATATTTAGGATATGAATAGGTGAATCTCTGCAGAATAAGATTAGATCATCTGCAAACTATAAATGAGTCAAATGGAAGGGATTAATATAAATTTAATTGCATTAAAATTAAATTAAACTTAAATTTAAATTTAAGTATTTTAACATAAAAATTGTTAAAAATATTTTTATCGACATGTCACGCCAAACCCATATCTTCATTTCTTAAAAATTGTTGTCACTGTGTTTGTGTTGTACCCGTATTGCATGTTTGTCTCCATCCTTCATAGCTCTCAACTCTTAAGGTCCTCAGTCTTCCATTTATTCCCTATCTATTCCACTACAGGTTGGGGATATATGTGTAAAGCCCCATTGTGGTTAGCCACTACCCTTTGGAACCATCTAGGGCACTTTTCCCCCTAGAGCCTTCAAATCTGCCTACATCTCTTCCTGTGCCAAAGAAGCCTAGAGCTTGAATCTCGCTCGTGGCATGTAAATGTTATTGATAAGCCCCAAACAACGTTTCACATTACCAGCTACTAGCAACTTGAGCTTTTGGGTAGTGGTTTCGAATCAAATAGTTGTTAAGAAACTATATGTGAGGCTAAGGAATTACAATTAACATCATAGCATTTTGTTGCCCCTTGTTGAGCAAATCATGTAGCCAATAACAGGATTCAAATCTTGCTCTCAAAGTAGAATTACCATCACGATAAGATCTTCAGTAACACCTATAGCCCATTAGAATCATGTAGCCAAGATTGACTGAGAGCTGAATTAGAACCTAGGAACAATCTAACTTAACCTAAACTTGAACTTTACACTTTAGACCACATAGATTTTTTTTTATAGAAGATATAGTTTTAACCACATAGATGTTGTTATCCACTAACATCCAATATCAATAAGTGTATAACATTCATTAGCAATAATGAGCCATTAATATCCTGGTGGTTAAAACTATTTTCCGGGAACCAATTTGTCACTATGTCTATAAGATGAAAGCAAGTGTTGAACCTTAAATATTGACCTAACCAACAAAGAAATTATATTTTCTAGGGGGCTTCGCTTCTTATCATTAAGAAAAGCAGTTTCCTATGGGACAGTTCATAGCATTTTTGAACAAACTCAGTCAATAGAGAGGATATATTCCACAAAACATATGAAGGATTTGAAAACGCTTGCATTGTAAAATGGCACATTTCGGAATCCATTGTTATGATAACCCTAAACAACATTCTAAACCACATTTCTAAACAGTGGCTTAACATAGATGTGCAATCAACAACCCCAGTTATCAATAAAACCTGCAAGTCAACAACCACATTTCTAAACCAAACTTGACAAGGGACAAAGCGCAGTACGAAGAAAAAGAAAACGGTGTTAATACCTCTACAGAGACGGGTGAAAAATTAAGAAAATAACTTCAAGGTATATCATTCAAAACGTGCGTGTGAGAAGAAAAATTAACTTACAATTGATGAAGACAATTGTTCAATTCTTTAGCTTGCTTACGACATTGCCATACAACAGAAATAGTCTTCCCAGCAGCACATTGCGCATATTTCGAAGTGTACTGATCACATTCTTTTAGTGCCTTTTGCTTCATCTTGCTCCTCAAAGCTGAACAAATCCAAATTAACCTACTTCACAATTATAACCAAACCTTCCTTTTCTTCGTGAAAAAAATGTCAGAATAAACAAAAACAGGGATTCTATGAGAACTGGGTTTAAGTTATTTTTTCTCCTCTTTTAGGGGATCGTTTCTTACCTTCTTCAACTTTCTTTTTGACGTGATTTTCACGAGCTTCCTGCACGTAACCCATTGCTGGAATTTTCTGCAAGGTAGCGACGGCTAAGTCAAGAGGAAATGGTGGGGTTTTCTTCTTTTCGCGCTGCTCCACCGTGTATTAATGTTACCATTGACTTGGGCCTTACTGTATCAAATCGTTGGCCCAACACATTACTGAATTGAACATTTTTCAATCGACTTAAAAGAATTTGAATAAACTACACAAATGATTATTAATATTTGAGTAAGTTTGTATTTACTACACTGAATTTTTCAAACTAACGATTTATAACAAATCGATTACTCGATGTTAAAAGTCATTAATGTGGGGTGATGGAAAGTAGGGATAGCAGTATGACCCGAACCCGACGGGGAAACACGAAATCTGGTCGTGTTCGAGTCGAGTCGGGTTGAATGATATCAGGTTCGGATTCGATGATTTTTTTCGGGGATTTTTTCAGGTCAGGTTCCAGTTCGGGGAAAGGTATCCCCGCCCCGCCCCGCCTATATATATATAATATTTTTTATTTTTTATATTAATTATATATATAATATTTTTTATTTTTTATATTAATTATATATAAAATATTTTCGGGTTCGGGTTTGGGTATAATATTTCGGGTCGGGGATGGGGACGGGGCAAAAAAATCCCCGACGGGGCGTCCCGATAAAAAACCCGTCGCGGATCGGGTCGGGTCGGGGATGAGGATTTATTTCGGCTTCGGGGACGGGGCGAGCAAAACCCGCCCCGAACCCGACCCGTTGCCATTCCTAATGGAAAGTTTATGTGAATAGTTAACTACTTACTTCTAAATGTCGACTGCCACCATTTTAATCGTTTACGATCAGTATAAAATCTTCATTCAAAGAATTTGATTTGATTCTTTTGGATTAAATTGATATATGTACAAAGGTAGATACATTTGTGTTAGTCGTCGATCGTCGATATTCATTATTTTTATTTTATTTTATTTTATCTTATCTTTGTTTTTGTTTTTGTTTTTTGCTCTTTGCTTTTGTACTTCTAATTTTTAATAACTTTGTCTTTATGAGACATTTTTCCTTTATATTTATGGTACATTATCATCTGTTTTTTTTGTACGTTTTCGGTTGTTTGGTTGTTGTTTTAGTTTAATCATTTTCTCATGGTTAGATTTGATATCACCATGACTAATGAAGATGGCACTTATTCGTTATCATGTTTATATTTCCTGCTTATGACTTTAGAATTTGATTTGGTTACACGATTTGCGGTAGTGGCTAGTTTTTTTCACGTCGATTGACTATGATTTGCGTTTTATTGACAGACTTTCAATAGCTTTATCTCATTTTGTGGTTTGTTTTTCGATGCGGTTAGACGTATTCGAATCCACATTTTATTCAAGTTTATTTGATTAAGTTTTTAACATTTTCTTTGTGTGGTATTAAGTAGCTAGTTTATTATGTTATTGATTATAGGAAAATTTTCTTATTATGTGTTTAGTTTACTATTGTGCTTGTAAATATTTATTGTAGTTTGATTTTTTTATTTTAATAAAACTAGTTGTTTTTATGAAAAAATAGAGTAAATTGTATGTTTAGTACCTAAATTATTACTTTTGTCTCATTTGGTACCTAAACTTTATTTTTTTCAAAACCATATCTAACTTTTAATTTATGTTTTATTTCGGTACTCTGTCGTTAAAAACTTAACGAAACTATTGTGGCATTTTTATGGATAAATTACATTATTTACCACTCAACTACCTTCTTACACCTATTTTGGTCATTGAAATTTAAATATTTTTTAATTTAATAACTCAGCTTTCAAATTACTCTTATTTTGACCGCTCAAAATTATTTCGTTAATATTTTGTATGAAGTAATATCTTTAAATTATTATTTTATTAATATATGTTTAGAATAAAAAAAGGGTGAGTTGGAGAGTTTGGTAAGAGTAAGGTCCGAATGGTGGGTGAGGGATTTGTAATTTAGGGTTTATGGTATAAATATTGGGTATAATTTAAAATTTAATTTTTATCTTAATTATATATTAATAAAATAATAATAAAGATGTCATGCCACAAAATATTAATAATATAAATAAGAGTGATTAAAACATGAGTAATTTGAAAGTTGAGCAGTTAAATTGAAAATTTGTAAATTTTAGTGATCAAAATAGGAGTGAGAATATAGTTAACTGAGGAATGATGTGATTTATCTATAAAAATGCTATGTACAACAGTTCCGTTAAGTTTTAATAGTCGATTACCAAAATGAAACTTAAACTAAACATTAGATGTGATTTAAAAAAATAAAATTTAAGTACCAAAATAGAACAAAAAGTAATTTTCTAGATATTAAACATGTAGTTTAACTGATAAATTAAAATAATATCTTTTAGATAAAGAGAGGATTATTTTAAGGTAATATTTATTAAAAAATTAAACATCTTAAATAATTGAAGTACACGAATTCTAAAAAAAATAGAATATGTATTATTATTTTTATTAATTTGAGCTAAATACACGTATTGGCTTAAATAATTTATGTGGCATTACACGGTAGTAAATTTATAAAATAAATTAACAAATTATATTTTTTTTAAATGTTTTTAAAAATTATCATTGTTATTAAATATAAATATTTATATATATTTTTTAAATAAAGTATTTGTGTTTGTGTCAGATGATCTAATAATTATGTCAAAATTAATATTTAATCAAATAAATAGATAATCATGGCACGTCCAATTGATTGTGTCGGACGAATAGAAAATCATGATCACCTCTGATTGGTTCACTTCGGTTCCTGTATTTTCATTTTTTCAACTTTTTCCACTTTGACTTCCTATTAATGACTCAAGTTCCACAAAGACTAAAGCAACGACTTTATGTTTAAGCGAAGGGATTTTGTGAGTTAAATCCGACGAGGTAAAACTAATTACAGGTTTTGAAAGCCACATTAGGTGAAGAAATTTAGGAACTGTGGCTGATGGATTGGCAGGAAATATAACGATGTCCCAGTATCGAAGGAAGAAGGAATCTATTTTTAGGATTTCATCCCTAGTTAATATTCCACGTGTAATGATGATGTAGATAATGAAAACGCACATGGAACATCAAAAAAGAAAAAAATATTTTTACGTTATTAATGATGTTAAATTTTTAAAGATGAATACTCAAATAAAATAAAAAATAAATATTAAATATGATTATAAAAAAATAAAAATTTAACTATTAAAACAAAATCAAAGTGAAATTGGATATTAAATGTATAGTTTATCTTAACTTTTTAAGGAAACAAGGCATTGACGGTCAACTCCCAGCGCGGCAAGCCCAAACCAAAACCCACGGGAATCTCTGCTATCCACACCTGTCGCGCGATCATTGGAGCACTCCCTCTTTCTCTCCTACTCTCTTTGATACCATTTTTCTTAGAAAAAATAAAATAATAATAAAAAAATCAGCCTTCTTTGGTCTCTTCAGTCTCCACTTTATAATACATTTCTCCGCTTTCTCATTTCCACCAACAAATCCGTAGGAAAATAGAAAAGGGAGAAAAATCGTCGATCGGTACGTTATTCTGAATCTGCGTTTCATTGATAATTTTGGATTTTATTTATTTACTTTGAGATATGTAAGGTTTTAATTTTTTTTACATATATTTCCCTGATTTTGTTATTGGCTTTTTGATTGATTCAATTAATTGATGTGTAGCTTTCTTTTTTGGGTTCAATATATCCTTTTAGGATTTGAGCTTTTCATTGCTTGATTTGACTATTTAGTTTTTTTCCCTTTTGTTGCGATCTGTTTGTTCCTAGAAGTGTGGGGGGGGGGGCTGAAACAGGAGATTTTGTTGCTAAGATTTGGGGTTGGAAAGTCTTGCTAACAAAAAATAGAAGTTTGGATTCTGTGAAACTGTTGGAACGAAAAAGATTGGAGCTAGTGCTAATGACTTATCTTCCTCACAGTTTAGATCTTATTATTAATATTTAATTAATTTTAGGAGGTAACTGTTGGAATTTTTGGCACAAATTAGAACTGATCTGTGAGTAAGATCATTTGAGGAAAAAAAGAACTAAAAAGATTGGAGCTAGTGTTAATGACTTATCTTCCTCAAATGATTGGTTTAGATGTGGATGCTCTTGTTTAGGCCCAGGATTTGGTTGAAAATGTCTGTATAACAAGAGTAAATATTTCTGCATTTGCAGGGTCGAGTATTAGATTGATATTGTAAAGATGTCTCCAACAGAATCATCACGAGAGGAAAATGTTTACATGGCCAAGTTGGCTGAGCAGGCTGAACGCTATGAGGAAATGGTGGAGTTCATGGAGAAAGTTGTGAAAACTGTGGGTGTTGAGGAGCTAACTGTCGAGGAACGGAACCTTCTCTCTGTGGCTTACAAAAATGTGATTGGGGCAAGGAGGGCTTCTTGGAGGATCATTTCTTCCATTGAGCAGAAGGAAGAGAGCAGGGGAAATGAAAATCATGTTGCACAAATAAAGGAGTATAGGGGAAAGATTGAAGCTGAGCTCAGCAAGATATGTGATGGTATTTTGAACCTTCTTGAATCTCACCTCATCCCATCTGCCTCATCCGCTGAGTCGAAGGTGTTCTACCTTAAGATGAAGGGTGATTATCACAGGTATCTTGCCGAGTTTAAGACTGGTGCCGAGAGAAAGGAAGCTGCCGAGAGCACCTTGTTGGCTTACAAGTCTGCTCAGGTGGGTGAATTGGTGATGTTGTGTTGTCAATGTTAGTTATTTTCTCTATAATTCCAGAGCTTCTATTGAAAAGGTGAAGATATAATATCTTAGCTTCTATTTATATTTGTTTATGATGGCAGGATATTGCTCTTGCTGAGCAACCACCTACTCACCCCATTAGGCTTGGACTTGCTCTTAACTTCTCTGTTTTCTACTATGAAATCCTCAACTCACCTGATCGTGCCTGCAATCTTGCAAAACAGGTGTTTATTCTCTTCTGCTCTGCTTTTAATATCTTATTGTTATTATTAGTCACTGAGTTCTGTCTTTGATCTAGAACAGCTAATAAACTAAACTCTTCCGGTTTTTAACTGTCTCAGTGTGGTTCATTGGTTTTGGATTGTATAGTAAATTGTTTTAATATAATCCCACCCAATCTGGATTTAGCTGTGATTGCAACTCCTTATATCTAGGTTAGTTGCATGTTTGAGGACCCAACCTGTTAACACCTAAAAGAATTACTGTGCCGATCTGGATGGTACTCCGAAAGTTACAAACATTGAATTACGAAAAAGTTTGGATTGATTATTCTATGTAAACTCTATTTGCTTATGAAATTGTTATTGAATTAAGTTTTTCGTTTTATAGTTTAGTGCTAGTCTGAACTGAAATGATTGTGATTGTTTTTAACCATATGAAATCTGGTAATACTGTTGAATGATAACCATTAGTCCATTATACTGGGTTTTATTAATTTAGTGTATTCAGGGCATGAAGTTTAGATTCTTCTTATGTGAAGATCCACAAATATCTTCTCAGGGACATAAGTTGATTGTCTAAAGGTCGTTTGTCAGCTAAAATAACATGCTTTCATTTGGCAGGCTTTTGATGAGGCTATTTCTGAGTTGGATACTTTGGGCGAGGAATCTTACAAGGACAGTACATTAATCATGCAACTTCTCCGAGACAATCTGACCTTATGGACATCTGACATTACGGTATCTCACTCTCCTCCCCCCTCGCCCCCCCTCCCCCCCCCCCCCAATAATGAAAATTTCATGCAGCTCTGTTGTCTTGGACATCAAATAAAACACTCTTCAAATTGCCATGATTTTTTGCACCAACATGGATTTGAAAAATGTCAAAACCTATGTTCTTGAACAAACCTTTTTGCTTTCATTTTCATGACTACAGTTCTCTACCATAGCATCTATACTTTCAGGCATTACATTTCATTGACTTATGTCGGGATTAATATCTCAAAATTTCAATTGATCTCCAAGATAATCCGTGCTTCTTTAACTGTATTAAGAATGCTTTGCCACAGTATACATGCCTAACACATTTCACCTCATCACAGTAATTTCATAAGTAAAATTCTGATATTATTGTTGTTATCTCATGACTCATGTTAATTATTTCATTAACATTGGATGTTCCTTTTCAACTGATGGTGGGTTTTCTCAAGTTTTCTATTTAGATGATTTCTTGGTTTGTGATCAATGTGTTGTGTTCCTTGGTTTTAGGATGAGGCTGGAGATGAGATTAAGGAAGCTTCTAAAGAGTCGGGCGAGGGACAGCAGTGATAAGTTCATAAAATTTGTGCTCTGTGCCTTATATTTGCAGGTTTACAATACATAGATGCAATGTGGGTTGTCGTAGATGGTTTGGGTTTTATTATTATTTAAATGCATTCATCTTGGAGTCAAAACGATCGTCTGAATCGTATATGTGCTTTATTATTGGACAAGAAGAATTTGGCTTGATTTGTTTTTCACGTGGTAGTGCTAATTAGTGCGTTTGCCAATCTAAATTTTTCTTTGCTGTTGTAAGCCATCTGATCCATGTTTATGCCATTTGCTTGATGATTTTTGTTTATCTAGATGTTGAAAATATTATTTTAAAAATTAAATGATATCATTTTATTATTTAACAAATCAAAACATTTGAATAACTGCAACCCATGTGATTAAACACTAATAATAAATAAAATCATTAAAGTCGACATTTTAATAATTCAGATAAAATTATTCAGTAGAACCAACAATAACAAAATGTTTATATAGGGAAATGACAATAATTTTGTCACAATTTAAAATATCAATTTCTAAAACAGTCCAATCTCAATTTTGTCAAAAACAAACCATTTAAATATAATGCAACTAGCTGATTTTAACATCATCTTATCTGTTTGTACTTGGAAAATTACTAACATGGGTGGTGAGTCAGATCAATTTAAGTGGAGATTTTACAAAAGATAATATAGGATGGGTTAATTTTTGTCGTGATTGTGAAACTTAATCTAGGCTGATGTTTTGATTTATAAGGATATAATTATTGTAAATGAAAGATAACGAAATTTGAAGTTTTACTGCCCACTTCTCTCGGACAGTGAATAAGTACTGTAGAAACACTTGGTTTATCTTGTGAGTATATATATTGATCAGACAGATTAGTATAGAAGAATCCTTTGGTAATCTGGTCATTAAGCAAAAAACAAAATTATGACGATAAGCTTTGCTGAATAGTGGATGAGTTTTGTTACGTGGAAGACATGTATGCTTGGCTGGCTTGCGGAACTCATGGAGAATTTCCCATTTCTCAAAGCTCTATGTTTTGGTAATAACAAAAGCCCAAACCTTCATCTTGACAAAATGATAATCAGATTTGTTTGAATAGTGAGTGAATTTTACTTCTGTATCGCATCTAATTAAGAAACATAGAATCTAATCAAGCATGTTTAATTTTTCTCTCATCAATAAGGTCGAGATCCTGTGACCAAAACAAAATAAAATATAATAGTACATATAACTTAAAAAATAATTAAATGACCAAAATAAAAATGAATTAATAAATTAGTAACTAAATATATAATTTATCATTTTTAATTATATGTAAATTTTAGGCTCTGACCTTATGGCCTGGTACCCTCTTACCTACGCTCAGCTACAGTCTTATATGCTTATCTTTTACAAAAATATATACATAACCTTAAAAATATTTTTATATTCGTCGTTACTATTAGCCTAAACCTTCGTTCCTACCACTAAATTGCACATTACATAAGCCTTTTCCAGATTCACCCCCATACCATAAACATCAGACATCAACAACAAACCAACCAAAAACTCTATACCTTCTGCCTTAACCCAACATCTTACCCAAAGCACCACTCAACCCGACCACCCAAACTCGAATTTAAATTGTCCAGTTTTAAATTAAAATCGAACGATCTGATTAGCACCCAATTCTACTACTCACTAACTAAATAACTTTAAATAAACATCAAAATCGAATGATTCGAATCAAAGGGCAGAAGGTCAATTGGCATAAATTAATTTGGTTTCCATTGCATATTCCTAAGTATAGTTTAATAGCTTGGATGACTATTTTCAACGGGCTGCCTACTAGAGACCAGCTTATTAAAATGGGAATTTGCTCATAAGCTCACTATGTAAACTGCAATTTTAACCAAGAAACAAGGGACCATCTTTTCTTGCATTGTCCTATGGCAGCAGACCTCTGGAATCTGTTTTGAACCTTAATGGGATGAAGCCATCGATCATGTCTTGGGATGGTATGGTTTCAAGGGCTTCTTCTTCGTGGAAAGGGAAGTCTCTCCTTACCACAATTTTGAAATTTTATTGGACTGCTTGCATCTACTTTCTATGGCAGAAAAGAAATCAGAGAGTCTTCCTAGGACGTCATAGAACAGTTGAATGTTTGCTCAAAGATGTCAAAGATGTCGTTGGAATTAGACTTAGGAGAACTAACATAAATAGACTTGATAGTATTAATCTAAAGCTTTGTAATGCTTGGGGTATTGTCTAACCAATCTCGTTTGTATAGGTTGTTTCCTTTTTTATTGTTTCCCTTGATTGGTTTGTATTTAGTTTGACATCGGGTAATAAAATCTGAATTATCAAAAAAAAACTTTAAATATACACACATAAAAGATAAAAAAAAAAGTATACGAAAAGGGAAAAATCTCAATCTTTACCTTAAACTTATAGTTTCAAGGTGACTTTCAACAATTTGTATGATGAGGATCATAAGCATACGACAAGAAATAACAATACTTCAATTTTGATCACTCGCATTTAATATAACGTTGTTTTATAAAACTAGAAAAACCATTTAATATAACCAATTCAAATTATAATCATTTACTATAATCAATCATTGTTGACCTCGTCACATTAAAAATCATATTTTAATCAACAAAAATGATTTTAAAAAATATCATCATATAAAAAAATTAATCAACTAAATATATCAATACACTTTTTTTTAGAATTTTAATGAAATGATTACTTTTCAAACACTCACTCTCTCAAGAATCACCTTCCATTTGAAATTGTATTATATTATTTTTACTTAATTCAAAATGATCATATATATATTTTTTATTTTTTTTACATTAAGTACATGCTGCTAGGCCGAATAATTAACGGGGTGGGTTTGAAGCGAAGCCCATCTTGATCTCTTAATAAGCCAACTGGATTTCCTTATCAGGGCACCGGTTTTATTTATTTCTTAAATTTGGCGCCCAACTTGCTTGAAAATTTGGATTCCCGGGAAATTTTCCCGTTTTCTTTAAAAAGATTTCATAATTTCATCTCTCAAATTTGTTTCCCTCTACTACAAGGGAAGCGGGAACTGAAAACCAAATCTAAAATTGAAAATTTCAATAAAACAAACCCAGAGAAAATTCATCTGGTTGAGACTTGAGAATTTGAGGGGAAAAAAGAAAAAATGGCCGTTGTTTCAACTCCAGCTTCCAAAATCAAAGAGGTGGATCAAACAAAGGGAAATGGAATTCGAACTTGTGATTCCGAAAATGGAAAATCTTGTCACCAGGTTTCCTTTTTCCCCGTAATCTTTTTTTGAAATTAATTTGTAATCGTTTCCTTGGAATTGCTTTTACTTTTTTCAAAAAATTTTTTAGCGCTAGTGATATTGTACAATCGGGTATATGTTGATTCTACGCTGACTTTGTTCTGCATAGTTGATTGGAAGGCACTCGTGTCTCTGATTTCTTTATTGACATATTTGTATTTTGATTATTGAGATTTGTTTTTATCATAGTCTATTTTACTTGAACTTGAGTGTTGAAAATTGGTTTATTTTTGACACGGGCCTACTGAGGTTTTTTTTTCTCTTTCTAATTTTTTCCGTAGTAGTTGGAGGGTCAAACATGGACATACTAACGTTCGTTAAATATTTACAAAGATGGCTGCATCAAAAAATGAAGAGTAGGTTATATAGAAGTATTAGGTTACAATGGATATGGAACTTTGTTATTTATTTGATTTATAATCTCTGGTTTTAGATTTTAGATTTCCTTTTCCCTAACATTTCTTTTGTCTTGGGATCAAATGCTGAAGTGCCGACAAAAAAGAATGAATTTCTTGGCTCCATGCAAGAACTTGAAAAAGGACAAGCAATGCACCATAAAGTATTGTCATAAATGTCTATTGAACAGGTTATTGCTTTGTTCTGTCATTTTACTTGCTGAGCAATCCGTTTAATTGTATAATGCTGTAAACATAGAGTATTTTTCTATTGGATTTGGTATTTGATAGATATGGAGAGAAGGCTGAAGAAGTTGCATTGTTGGCTGATTGGAAATGTCCCAAGTGCAGAGACATTTGCAATTGTAGTCTTTGCATGTAAGCATTCTGAACTGTGGATGTTACCATTTCTGATTCATGGTGTCATCTCTGACCAAGTCTTAACTGGGTACTGTTCTTTTAGGAAGAAAAAGGGTCACAATCCTACTGGTATACTAGTGTACACTGCAAAGAAAACTGGGTTTTCTTCTGCTTCGGAATTGCTTCAAGCTAAAGGACCTGAAAATTTTAAATATGAAAGGATTGTAAAAGATATGTGTGCTTTGCCAAAGAACCAAACAAAGGTTTGACCTTGTTTTTCTTCCTAATGGTAATAGACTATTGGTTTGACATCATTTTTGGGTGATGGAATTTGTCTCTCTGATGTTTACAGGAGTCTATGGCCACTTCACCGAGGATGCATGGGAAGGAAAATTCTTTTGATGGAGACTGTGATTCCAAGGTTAGTTCTCAGAATTTGGTATTGTCATTGCCTGATGAAAAGAAGTCTAAGAAAATGAAACGTGAGGGATTGAAGGAATTGTACAATGGCAATGGAGATTGTGAAGCTTCTTTGAACAAAACTTGTCTAAAAAAGCCTAAAACCTCAAAGGAAGCTTCAAATAAAACAATGAAAGGTAATGGTTGCCTTTCAAATGAAACGATGTTGAAGACAGAAGTGCAAATTGATGGTGCATCCGGTCCCAGCAAAGAGCAAGAAACTAAATGTGCCAAAACCAAGAAAGCAGGAGTTTTAAATGGAATTAAAGTTTTGGAGATCACTAAGAGAAGAGACTCCACAACTTCTGATGAAGAGTCTAGGAAAAAATTGAAGTCAAAAGAAAATTTTGCGGGAGAGGAAAAGAATCTTAAGAGGCAGGTTCCTGAAAGTAACACCATAGCTCCTGTTAAAGAGAAAAGGTGCGGTGTAAAAAGTGAGGATTCTGGAGGTTCAGATGGTTTAAAAAATGATAACGCATGTGGCAAGCTCCAGTCAGTTAAAAAGCTTTGCAAAGATAGAAAGCTTGACGTAGACATTCATTTGCCTCAGGGTGCCAGCTTAATAACTGTTGCTGGTGTTGATTTACCTCCCAACGATGTTGGTCATGCATTACAGTTCTTAGAGTTTTGTGCAGCTTTTGGAGAGGTATGTAAAATTTTATAGTACTATTTTTATATTTAAATTTAATATTCAACTCTAGACACATCATTTTCTAAATCTTACCTTAATCAGTAGAATAACATAGAACTATTTGCTGGTGAAAACCTTGTGGTAAACATTCTTGATATGTTTTATACTTCCAATCCTTTCATAGGACAAGTCGGCTAATAGGTTCTTATGTTCTTGCTGCTGATTTTTTATTTATTTTCTTACATTGGAAAATACTTTATTTTCCTGAAAGAAACATTAGAAAAAGTTTTTTTAATTGAAAGTACTTATTTTTTAATTATAATGTCTAGTGTAATTGTTTGTTTTTGTTTTACTTTTACCTGCCCAAGCTTTCTTAATTAGTAATTTTGGTTATTCTCTTGCTTTTTATGTTATAGGTTCTTGATATGAAGAAAGGTCAAGCAGAATCTGTAATAAGAGAAATAATACGTGGACGTGGCAGATGCCGATTGCAATACTCTCCAGTAGTCCAAATTCATATGCAATTGTTGTCTCTAATACAAAAAGATATGTGCAAGAAGTATAAATCAAATCCCCTAACTGCTGATTTTCATCTTCTTTCTTAGAACTGGATTATAATTTTATGTTGAATTGGCTGTTTAGATTTCCAGCCTTCAGTAGAAGTGACAATGCTTCATGGTTCCAAGCCCTTGGTCAATGTGTGTCTGAATCTCAACGTGCACTTAAAGAAGTTTCTACTGATATTTATGAGCGTGGTGTGGATGCATATAATATGTTAGACAGTTCTGTTAAGCTTAAACTCTTAAACATTTTGTGCGATGAAGCCCTTTGCACTATGTAAGTATCAAGGATGATAACCAGGGCCATATATTTGGAAACTAAAACTCTTTTTAGAAAAAAAAATTTAGTAAACATTTATTTTACAAATTAGGACTCATTTTCTGTAAATTTTCAGAACATTGCGGAACTGGATTGACAAGCAAAATTCTAAGTTTATTGATAGTGAGAAGGAAGTAAAAGAAAAGATTATTGCTTCAAGGGATAAGGTAATGCATGCAATATTACATGCTCTTTTTTGGTTGTAATTTTAAGTGTCCTAATGCAAAACTGGCTTTTCTACTTGCTACAGGAAAAGCAACTAAGGCAGAAAATGCATGATGAGGTTGCCAAAGTTATTACTGAAAAAGGTGGTACTCTGTCAATTTCTGAGCATGGGACACTTATTGCACAAATAAAAAAAGAAACAGCTCAAGTTCATGAAGATTTGCTCCAGGCAATGGCAATGTTACCAAGGAGTATGTTCTCAATTCCTTTTTCCTATAGTTCAAGCAATTACGTTAAAAATGTGCATAAACTCATACATGTTGCTAATTAACCATGTAATTCTTTTCTCCCACCTGACAGACTTATGTTCCAAAGTAGGCTGGGTATAGTTTTGTGGATAATGAGTCTTAAAGGATATCTATTAATCACAAGTACTATTCTAAGTGCCATTGCTGAAAAGTTTATGTTATAAACTAATAGAAATGTTGTTTTCATCTTTAATTTTGCAAAATTAAATTGGTCAAAACTTGACAGTTGACACTAATAGAGTTGAAACATAAATGTGTTATGTTTCTGGATCCAAGTTGAAGATACTTGACCTTTAGTTTACGTGCAGTTTATTAGTATCTAAATCATGAAGCTGTTATGTTGGTAATTAAAGTGAATTTGTGTTTTTTCCTTGTTATAAATGGATTATTCCACTTCCAATTGCTTCAACATTTGTGCTTTGTGCAGGAAGATACTTCTCAATACTTCTTTTTATACACATATACTTGCATTCTAAACAGCTGACTTTCCTTTGTAATCTTTTAGAGAGAGAAAGGTCTGATGCTGTTAGAACATCACCTATTGTATTGGCTGTAAGGGGTCATGTTTTCTGGAAACTGAGTGGGTATACCAGTGGAAACCATATATTGCTTCAAGGTTAGGGTTTAGTGCATTACTTTAATGTGTTTTCAACCTGTCAGTTTGGAAGTTTCAAAGTTTCATGTTTAATGGATAGATTTTGGGACCTCAGATCCAGTTGCACCTGATGAAAAATGGTTTATCTATGATGTTGAACAGAAGCGAGACGTAGAGAAATACATCTCTTTGATAAGGTAATTACACTTGGTGTTTTGTCATTTATCAATTCCATGAAAATAATGGTTGATAAATAGTCAAAAAGATAATTGTAAAATAATATCCCTTGAAAAAATAGTGGAGTATTCCAACTTCTGATCTCTTTTGAATCAAATTAGCAAGTATAATAGTAATGTTGCAATTGTTCAAAGATTGATGATCAAGTTGATTGGAAATCATAACTAGAGTGGTAATTTCGGATCTTACCTCATAAACAAAAGAGGAGATATCAATTTGGTCCTTTTTTCTGGATAATCAACCATTAGGTCAAAAAGAGGCACGACCCAATTGCCTAAATGCCTTTGATCCTATTGCACATGTAAAGATTACTAGCCTTGTAAAAAAAAGGTTGCTTTAGGGTCTTTTATGATTTTCAATGAGGATCATAATGTTTTGTTACTTTTTTTTATCATTATTTCTTCTCTTTTCTGCAGGACAAAAAAGCTTAGGATACAGAAAGTTTCAGGCAGCCTTCCAATTGCTGGTGTTGGAGAAGACTTGGAGCATTCATAGTCCTCGTTAGTGACCCTCATTTTTTTATCAGAAAAATTCAGGTAATTATATGCTGCATTTTATGGGAACTGGCTTCTACAACTTTAAAGTGGTAATTCTTGTAGCCTTGCAATAAATTATGTTCTAACTGCATGATAATGTCAGTAGGGTCTATGTATTGGCAGGAGTTTCATTCAAACATGAGTTTCCGTTTCCACAACCTCATCTTGCAGCTGACTTACCGTCTAGATTTATTTTTCCAGTTTTTTGATTTGACACTCAAACTCAGTATGAATAACATAGAATAGCCTATTAGATTGAACAGTTTGGTAACATAGAATAGCCTATTAGATTGAACATTTTGGTAAGGTTACAACTTGCAACTTGTGAGGGACCAAAAATAGTGTTTAGTCTTTAATGCCAAGTAGGGTGAAATTGTTTCTTGTTAACTTTGAATGTTATGCATGGAGTTTCATTGCTGTGAATTACCTCCATTTTGGAGGATTTCCCCTCATCGTGCCCTCATTATAAGCTGGGATTACTGTGTGTTATCAAAGTTTTCTAATTGGAATATTTTATTCTCAGTATAAAATCATCAGTCAAAAGTTGACATAACAAATAATTTGTCCTTTTTGGGAGCAGACGAAGTGTGAGACATAGGGTTACAGAGCAACAAGACAATTGAGGGCGTAGGCATCATCAGCTTGCTTGGTTAGTATTGACTGACAACTGAATTTGCATTTGGTTTTTTCTATTTTTTGTGGTTACCAATCCATTGAATATGGAATGGTAAGAGATGATAGATATTGTTGTAACTTTATCAGTACGGGGTGTATTGTATATGTCAATGTCTGTAACGGTAGTGAACTCGTACATTTTTTTTGAAGTGTTTTAAAAAAACAATGATTGAAATGTTCTTTTTGGTGTTTGTGTTGTGATTGATGGTAGATATTGCATAATTGGGAAATTAGGGTTTGATGTTAAATGATGTGGAATTCAAGACCTGAATACTGTATAAATTTGGATGAAACTCCTGGAGCCATATTTTTCTGGGGAAATATAGAGATCCGAGCTATCAGATGCTTAAGAAGAAGAAAGCCCCATATATGATAACATTTATAAGCATAGATTGACATAAGATTTTATGTTAGGGGATAAATTTATAAAATTTTAAAGGAATATGAATTTATAAAATTTTAGGACTAAAATATATTTTTAATAGAAAATATAACTAAAATATTTAAAATATATAAGAATTGAAACTTTTAGGGAGTGATTGCTCTCACTTGATCCATCCTTGTTTATAAGCATTGGTAGTGGCAAATAATATATATTATGTTGGAGTAAGTGTGGAAAATAGAAACACAAACAATAATTTGACCATTTTTAATATATATTATGACGTTGTATTGTTAGAATTGTATACTTTCACATAAAAAGGAGTTTTGATATTCCATCTTATGATTGTTTTTATATTCCCGTATAAAATTCGTTAAATTAGATTTTAAATATTTTATAATTATAAAATAATTTTTAATTCAAAATAAGGAATTAATATATATTTTTCTATTGTTTTGTGTTTTCAATGATTTTTAAGCAATTTTTTCAACCCGTTAAACATTGTCACGTCATTAAACTTGATGTGACCAACGATAATTGCAATTAGAGGAACTTAATTCATTGTTTAAAAAAAAAAAATAAACTATCAATTGATTCATGATTGTAATCAAAGGCTCACTTGATTCTTTTGGTACAATTTGAGAGGCCATAGATTTATCTTATTTTTTTTTATGAGAGCCAAAATGCTAATTTACCAACTTAAAACTCTATAATTTTTAGGATTAAATCATAAAACTATGCAAATGGTCATTAAAGTTTTAGTAAATTTTTGTTTTCCTCGTTGAAGTTTTGAAAGTAACGAATGAGTCATTAATGTTATCGAAGTCGTTTGTGACACAAATGAAGCAGATACACAAGCTACAAAATCATTAAAAATAGTAAAATGAGTATATAAATCTGGTTACCTACGAGCTCAGCACAATAATTGCACTAAACAGAGGTCTAAATAAGATTTTCTGAAGAGAAAGCTTTAATAGTCCAGAAATTTGGATCAAGTACTTTATTAGTGCCATCATTTTTAAAGCTGATGAACAATATATAAAACAAAAATGCAGCGTAAGAAAGCAGAGGAACAAACCTTATCATCACCACTTTTAACAGATTGACCACCTCACTGCCCGTTCCACTTTCAGCAGAATCGTTAATCATCATCAGACCCTAGTGATTCGTCCTCACATTCATCATCTTCATAGGACTCATCATCATCAGCTTCTTCCTCACTTTCACTTCCACTCTCGTCCGAGTCAGTACAAATTAGGGGAAACACAACCTTCATGTCAATAAAATGCTGAGCTCATAACTGCAATGTAAAAAACAAATCCAAACCAAAGTAATAACAAATTGGAATATGGAACAAGAACAGCCAAATTATCATCTTTTTTTTAATATTATTAATACCATAAAAGAAATAGAGATATTACTATATTACAAGGAAAGAGTATATGGAGGATATAAATAATAAACTCAGCTTAACTGTATTCAAATTCCACCACTAGACAATCATTATCCAATCACTTTAGATCTGCACCAATAATAGCGCATACATTCAGGACAACACGAACAATTTTGACTTAATGATCGTGCATGCTCCAAATGTAGAAAGAAATAAAACATACTTACAAAGATGAGCATCGGATAAAGAGTTGCGCACCATTGTTGAGTGAATGTGAGCTATTTTGGCGTGTTGGCGCTCCCTTTAGTGAGCATTTTGGTGACACCTAAAGCTTGGGAAGTGGGGATGGTGTTGGCTACGTACTCGGTCGTGAGATGGTGGTGACGGTGGTGCTGATGGAACATATTTTTTACAGACATGTTAATGAGGATAGTTGCATGACTATGATACAAAGCCATATAGAAAGAGGATGAAGGACAAGAAGGAAATGGTGGTTATTGTTACAGAAAAAAACATATTTTTTTCAAGAGTCGAATAATGATTAACGTGGTTATAACATGTCACATCAATATTTCATCGTCTACATTTGTTATAAATTATAATATTAGCGACCAATTCATTATTATGTGTAATTTATCCTTTTAGGAGTACAAAACACGAGGTTAGTACAAGTAGTTCTTGTAAGATATCCGAACGTACAACCTTTAAAATTACGTTTCAGAGAAGTATTTCTAGCAACGGCAACAACAGGAATAAGTCTTTGCACTTAAACACAAGTTACTTTTCCATTTGTGTTTCTTCCTGTCTTTTTCTCATCCATGACAAGCACTATTCTTCTTCTTCTGTTTTTGTTTCTTTCAATTTAACCTGGCACACCCAACACCTCAATCCTCGTATCAAATATCATACTTTGCTATGTATATGCACATATCTATTATAAGATTGTTTACTTACACAGAAATTTGCATTGGATTTGATGAATTTGGCTTTGCCTATTCAGTTCTGCCATTGAAAAGACTGCGGTCACACAATTCAATTATTTTACTGCAGGGAAACAGGCTAGTTTGGAGTGGATATGGGGCGATTTACTGAAAATCACACAGAAAATAATTATATGTAAGACACATTTTTTTTTTAAATTTTATTAATCTAATACTATTTCTGACAAGGTACGGATTATTATCCATGCTTTTACAGGGTTTTGTCTAAGTTAACATTACGTAAGGGAAGGCGCGGATCGTCATCCGTACCTTAACATTTTAAAAAAAATATGCTTTAAAAAATTAAAAAAAAAACTATAGGGACTAACATCGTAATTTAATACATATTAGTTCCATGAGTTGAAGAGCTTAATAGAGTTAGCTTATATATACATATTTGAGTGTTTAAGTTATGTTTCTTGACAATGTGTGATAAAAGCTAAAAAGTGTATTTCTTGACAACGTGAGGAGTTGATAAATTATCATTTGTTTAATTTTGAAGTTAGCTTACATCAATACAAAAAATAAAAGTAAAAAAAAATTGAAATTCTATAAGTTTTACTGGGAAGAAGTGAATGAAGAATTATGTAAGACACTAACTGTATTTTTTGATGCTACATCCATTGATTAACTCCTTTGTAGCTTTTATTCCGAACAAGAGTGACCATTGGAACATTTGTGATTATAGACCTATTAATCTCGTTGGGTTAATTTATAAGATTATTGCAAAAGTTCTCTCAAGGAATCTAAGATTTCCAGTATTGGATCGACCGAACGTTCCTACCAGAAAAAATAAAATAAAATGTTAGACAGACCAACCTTTCTTTTCTGCTTTTTGTTTTTACAATTTTCTTCACTTTAGGATTACTATAAATGGAATTAAATTATCATCTTTTAATTCATAAATAAGTATATTTTATAAATATACGAATAATATAAATTAATTATATATAATGAAAAAAATATTTTTATATTTTTTCATTAAACTAAATATGGTTACAAAGTATTATATGTTTTAAATATTCTCAACCATTTGACAATGAACGTTCAAATACCCTTGCAATTGCTGATGCATTAACCCGTAACCTCTAGTAACAATAATGATTCCTTTAATTACTGAGATAAATTGGTTCATGCAATATTTTTAATCAAATGTTTTTATTGATCAAATATTTCATTATGTATACGTTCTGGTAATACAAAACTTATTTTTTTAAAAATCAATTTAATATAATTTATCTCTTTAATATTTCCAAAGAGAATAATACTCTTTACCACTAAAATTATTTCTTGAGATCTAAAAATAATTTTGACATAATTAATATCATTATCACTATTATTTTCAATCTCATCGTCCATCCAAATAAACCCATAATTCAACACATATACGGTCTGAAATTGGTGCATAGAATGTATTATTCAGTGGTCGTTGCTCTACACTACCATCCTATTATTCAGTGGTAACAATGATCCGCCATTGCTTCAATAAAACGGGAAGCGTGTTGATGGTCAGTTGAATCGCCAGTCCGATCCTGTTTTCATAAAATAATAAATCATTAATTTAATCAATTAATTTCACCTTATTTTATTTTTTATCACTAAAATCTAAAAAAGAACATTATTTATTTATTTTTCTGAGTTACCACATAAATATCAAGTATTATTTTTTTAATATTTTTTTATTTGAATTAGATTTTCTACCTATCACC